TTCCTTCACCTCCACCTTCTCTCATGCTGGCTGTTCTGTTGCCCATTTCTCCACTGAAGTGCAGTGCCCAAGATCCACTTTGATAGTGGGGGGAATAATTTGCCTTACAAAACTAATCCTACAGTCTCCCCTACATTGGGCCCAGATTCAATCATGTTGCCAATTTAATTCCTCGCCCATCTCACTTTTGCCCACAGACTGACCACCACCACCACCCCTGCACACAGCTCCACGGAGAGGTGGAATCCTTCCCTCCACTTCCCCTCAATTCTTCACCTTCCTGTGTGAGCCCTCAGGAACATCAACTCCTTGCCTCTATGGTAATCTCCCCCCTCCTCATTCTCAGAAACCTTGCCTCTTAAAAGAGCTTCATCCAGAAGGCTGAAACAGCTGTGAGACCAACATGGTGACAAGCACTCTTGGAAACAGCCTTTTGGCAAAGGGTGGAAATTTAACAACTGGTTCGCCCATGGCCAGGTTGACTGTCGTGGAAAGCTTGTCCCACATGTGCGGCAGAGCTGGAGGATGCAGATGGGCCATACGTCCCACAACAGCCAACCTGACCATGGGCGAACCGGTTGTTAAATTATTTGAATCCTACCATTGAAACACAGATCAGAATAACCTAACCAGGACAGAAATCATGAAGACACCTTTTTACTGCAGATAATTAACAATTAGAAAGATGGCTATGGGCTCTCTAGAAATTATGTTGAGTGTTAATTAAGAAACCAGCATCTTGCTCTAGAATCAGAGCAATCCTGTATTGTCAATGAACATTCTTCATGTTTAAAAGGGAAATATATGAGCAAATAAAAGTATTGCCTGTGGAATTCCCAATATCAGGAATCATTGCAGAAACAGTTCTGCATGAACTAGAATACTGCTTTTCAAAATTATACAGCTAAATTATGGCACCACTATATGGACAACATGTTTGTCATCATCAAAAGAAATGTGCTGAACGACTTTCATTCCCTACTGAACCCCATATTCCCTGACATAAAATTCACAGTGGAGGAAGAAACAGTTAGACAATTACCATTTTAGACGTTAACAGATTGGAAGATAAAAGCCTACAGTCCACAGTATTCTGGACAGAGATGCCAAAAAGTTAAGCAACTGCATCTTTGAGGTTATGAAGCACTGAACAATGAATCTGCTGAAAAATATAAAGGGGAAAAAAAAGAATATTGCTCTTTTACACAGAGGATAATGAACTGTTTCATTTGACTTCATTTTAATCTGTAATAAAGATGTTTTTATTATTGAATGTTTGAAAGAGTTGCCATATGCCCGCTAAGCTATATAAAAGCAAAGGCTGTGATTTACACTCAAGTCCTGTACAGGGCAGCCTGTTAGCTTCTTGCCTTTATCTACTGCCATTGCTATGAGAAGACACCCTTCTCCTGCAGATAATTAAGAGTTAGGAAGATGGCTATGGCTCTCTAGAGATTCTGTTGAGTGTTAATTAAGAAACCAGCATCTTGCTCTAGAATCAGAGTCAAATGTTTACTCTATGGGCCTACTTCAGACTATTAAAGGGCTAGCCCCAGAGGTGGGCTGCTGCAGGTTTGAACCGGTTTGAGTGAACCAGTAGTTCTGATCAGCACGCCCACCCGTCCCGGCGCTATCCCGTCCTATATTGCCGTGTTTTTGAAGCTGTGCGCATGTGCGGAAGGCCATGCACATGCGCATATTTTCAGTGCTCACATGCTCACATTTTCAGTGCTGGGCGAACCAGTTGTTACATTATGTGATGCCCACTTCTGGTTAGCCCAGTAGAGAAACAAAGATAATTCCTATCCCAACACAATTCACATTGATCCCATAGCTGCTGCCAGAATCATCAAAAGCTTTATTCTTATTATCCTGGCAGATAAACATGATGAAAAAGTTGTTATAATTCCATAATATCTGAAGTTCTTAAACATCTATTTAAAAAGAATTCTGATTTCTTTTGAGGAACTGATTCATATCAATCAAGTCTGAGGAGTTCTTAAATGTCTGGCTGGTAAATATTGGAAATGAAAGTTCCCACATGTGAAAATTGCTGACATTGAGAAACATTGTGCTGAAGTAGAGAAATGTGCCTTTGGCTTGTCTGAATTACAGCATGTGCTGACCAAGTACTTTCATTCTTTCTTTTTAAAAAGTATTTTTATTTATCTCCAAAGTTAAAATCCAAATTTGGGGGTGGAGGGTGGGAAGAAAAAGGAAGAAGGAACAAATATCAAATGCTGACAATAAAAATAAAAAACATGTAATGACAAATATATCATTAAGACTAATATTAAATATAAATTGTCACCCTGGTTGATATATTGTATCAACGTATTCAATGTATTGAAAAATACATCTAAAATATCTGATATGTTCTCCCCTCTCCCTCACATACTGTGTTTCTCCGAAAATAAGACCGGGTCTTATATTTTTTGGGCCACCAAAAAAGACACCAGGTCTTATTTTCAGGGAAGTCTTATTTGTTTTCCCCATGTATGGGGAGGTAGTGGGGTGAGCTGCCCCTCTACCTTGCACCTCCTTGCCTAATGGTCTTACTTGCTCCATGGAACACCTGATTTGTGGGTGCTTCTCTGGCCGCTGCCTGTAGGATTTGGGTTGTTGTTATTCACTTAACAACCATGAAACCAGTCATTACAACCTTTGGTGTCTGCCTCACCTGCAGTGGCTCTGCAGCCACCTCACCTTCTGCCCAGCCCATCCTCCACCAAGCCCCGATCAAAAACCTTGAAAACTCCTGAGCACCACCAGCCTGCCAGGGCTCCTTCACAAGTGGCTGCTGGTGGAGTCATGCTGCCTGTGCCATCTCACCCGCCGCCACCAGCCCAGAAGGCAGCCCTTCCTTTTCCCGGTCACCTCATGGAGGCTTGGCTCCTTAATTATGGCCCATGGATCAGCTGAGCCAGTGAGGGCTGGGAGCTGCTACTTGCTTACATTCTTTGATAAGTTGTGGTCTCTGCAAAATAGACTCAATTAATTTCCATTTAAAGGACTGAGATCTGAATTTAATCCAATACATTGGATTATAGTCTGAAAAAGATTTTGGAAGAATGTTAGTTTTATTTGTCTTGTGAACCAAATTTTTAGCAATCCTTGTCATATCAATTCTAGAAAATGATTTATGTCTCAAAAAAGAAAGTCCATTTTTACATCAGCATACCTAAATCAAACCTAAAATATCAGTCAATTCAAAAAAGGTTTGGGGCAGTTTCCATTATTTATCTTTAATTCCTTATCAGTAGATCTGTCCAGTTGTTACTACCCATTCAATTCCAAAGTATATACTAATACTGAAAAGAAAAGGATAATAGCTGTTCAGACAGGTATTTTAAAAACTTGGCTCTTTCTTGGTGTGGGTTATATAAACCAACTACAGAAGATTTTATTCCTTGTAATTCAAAAATCATCGCATTCCAAAATAACTAGATAGTCACCTATCAATCTCTTCTTTGGAATGTTTTGGAATTATTGACATTCAGGCTACAAAAATATAGTAGTCCTCTCACAATTGGGATGAGCAGTTCCATTGCTAGGCGACACAGTCATAAAATGAAAGACAGATGACTGTGCTTACTTACCTGTTTCATGACAGTTTCATCTGTGTTCATTAAGTAAGTCACCTGCAGTCATTAAACACAATATCATGTGACCATGCCCTGCAGCTACCTGTCGCCTTTCCCATTGAGTTTGCTTGTTGAATATTGGCTGTGAAGGTCATAAATGACAATCATCTGACCATGGGATACTGCAATAATCTTAAATGTGAGTCAATTGCCCTGTCCCTGAATCACAATTGTGTGACTGTAGAGATGTGGCAATGTTTGCAACTTTGAAGTCCAGTCCAGCTCTTATTTTCAGTGCCATTGTAATTTTTGATGGTTACTGAATGAGTGGTCGGTAAACGAGGACTACTTCTATTCTTTCACAAATACTGTAGGATTTCAGTATGTACTGTTACACTTTGCATTATTCTCATCCTCATTATTTCAGCTGCAGCACATATATGATCTGTTGCTATTTATTCTAAGAATAAATTAATCTTGACAATATAACCTCTTTCACCAGGTTCATGGAATAATATAAATTGTAGTGATCAGAAAAGCTTCATCTGCAAGAGACACAATAGCTCTGTCCATACAACTGCAGAACCCACATTACCTGCAACACCAAAAGGGTGCAGTGAAGACTGGCTTTGGTTTAATGATAAGGTAACTGATATAGCAATTGTAAAAATTTTGAGAAAGCATCATTGTTCAAACATCCTAAAGGTAATATGTATGCTAATACATGGAGATTGCGATAGGTAGTCAGTGGTCTTTTTAGACTTCTCATTGAACACAGGTAGTTCAGCAAGAGATTCTTCATATCCTATATTACATCTATTATATTAGGTACAATATTTGAACAATGCCACAAAATAGAAATGCCATTTTTGCTCTGCTCCCATAAAATCTAAATGTAACTTAAAGTATATTTTCACATTCTATTTCTCTATTATTTTTGTTAACATTGATTACATGTAGTTCTCAACTTAAAATCTTAACTGAGCCCAAATTATGGTCATAAGTCATGCTAGTCATTAAGTGTATCAGTATGTGACCAACCTGATTTTATAACTGTTTTTGCAGCAGCAGTCATTAAGCAAATGTGACAGTAGTAAAGTAAATGCAGCAGTTATTAAGCAAAATCCATGGTTGTTAAGTGAACTCGTTTTCTGCAATGAACATTTTTTTGCCAGAAACTAGAAGCAAACATCAGTCTCCAGCAAAATAAATAAATAAATAAAAATCACAAATCCTGGTCATGTGACCATGGAGTGTTGCATTAAGTGTGATCTGGTTGCCAAGCAACCAAAATGCTCTGACTGTGGAGGACATGGCCATGAAACTTCAAATCCAGATCATAATTATTGGGGGGGGGGTGTCTAGTAACTTGTGATTTCAGAGGACATGTCTATAAGCAGTATCATCTGAAGAGTCAAATGCCACCAAGATTTTGAAAGATTTGGGCACATTCTTTTTTCACCAATTCCTCTCTCCTGGGTGTTCCCAAAGTAAGACAGCAATGACAAACCTGGCTGTGTAACTTTCATCAATACAAAAATATTAAGAAGTTAATTATGTCACAGAGACCAGATATGAATGCATATAATTAAGTTATAAAATGTTAACTTTTATTAGTGCTTAGAGTACATTTTTCTGGAAAGAAAGGAGGGAATTTAATTTTATTACCTGAATTACTGCCTAAGCTTTCCTAAAAAATTGTGATTTCATTTCATGATTGATGATTATACATTGGTTGTTCCTATTACTTTTTATTTAATTAATCATTTCTTGATTGATGGATTTTTGGAGGGATTTTTATTCTTCTAGTGCTTCCAAATATTTGGCTTCAGAGAAGAGGAGAAGAAAAACTGGAGTGCTGCACGTAAGCACTGCAGAAACCTAGAAGGAAACCTGGCTAGTATACCAAACAAAGATGTTCAAGGTACAAGCACCTTTCTAAATCATATTGACTATTAACATTGCTTTTAAAATCCAGGAATCTTTTCTTAAATTACTCTTATAGGAATTATTATTATTATTCTTTCCTAAGCTTCACTTTATAAATTTTTGCCACTTGGGAAGATCTGAGAGATATGAAAATGTTGCCACAATTCTTAGGATATGCTCCTTCTCTATGGCCCCATGCACATTTTTAGCCCATTCCCAACTCAAAGGTTGCCATGCTGAAAATATAAGGGCAATAAGAATCCAAAGTAATTTTACAATAATATAACAAGTGTGTATTGGCAATATTATATGAGTTAAGCATTACTTAAAGCAGTTACAAGTGTGTAGCTGGATTATTTTCAAAGCAGAATTTAGTAAAATGTTTATTTTTAGAAGCAACACATATCCTTATGTTTTATTCATTACATTTAAAGGTTATATTGACTAAGAACAACCATCACCACCCCCATAGTTATCTGAAAGGTAACTTATATGGAACGTACAGGCTATATGGTGAGGTGAGCTCATTCATTGGTTCAGGCTTCAGTATCATCATAGCCATTTTTATATCTCAACTTTTGGTTAGATGGGCAAAGTGATTGATAGCTGTTGAAGCCTAGCTGGTGAATAGCAGACTTCAGGTCAATCCTGCTATGACTAAGTAATTACGACTGTTTAGCTATTTGGCCCTACTTGGTCAAGGACATTTTTTGAATGGGGTTACACTTCCTCATTCAAACTGGTGCCAAATTAAGGGTCTTCTAAAACTCAAAGTTCTTAATTGAACGTATAGTTGCCAGGTTTCCACTATTTGAGCAGACAGTCCGCTTTTTTTCACATTATGTTCACTATTTTTTTTCACAAAATAGTGGACATTTTTTTTATTCAAAAGCTTTATGATGAAATGGTACGTAATCTAAAGCTGTACAGTCTAAGAGAATAAGGATAGGAGAATCATGTTTTGTCTTTTTTTTCATAAGTTAGAATGAGACAAAGATCAAATATCCATTGAACTCGATTCTCCGAAAAAATTAATGATGAGATTAAAATAAAAATATATTATAAAATTATGTACAGTTCACATTTTTAAAATGTATTGTAGCTTGTGTTGAGTGACCTAAAATGGCATCGAGTGATGAGAGTGACAGCGGCGAGATTTCGAATTCTTTAAAACAAAAGAGAGGAGTGTGCAAATACACCAAAGACTGGGAAGCTACTTTTGCATGGATTACCAACAACGAAACCGACAGAACAAATACAACGGCCTACTGTAAATTGTGTCAGAAATCGTTCACAATTGAATATAATGGTATAAAAGCTGTCACACAGCATGCAAGCACAAAAAATCATTTAGATAAAGAGAAAATTATAGCTTCCAGCAACAAGCGAATCAATTCGTTTTTCATTGTTAATGAAAACAAAGACTCCTCTTTCAGTAAGAAAGTGACTGTAGTTGAAATGGCTGAAACTTACCATGGGATCAAACACCATATTTCTTTCCTGGCTCAAGATTGCGGTATTAAGTTAATGAAGCAAATTTTTGATGATTCAGAAATTGTAAAAAAGATGTCTTGTGGAAGAACCAAATCATCAGCTATTGTCAATGAGGTTTTTTATCCTTTTTCTATTGAGTTGGTTCTCAATGATCTTAAAACTGGAATTCCATTTTCTCTCTCCACTGACGCATCAGACAAGGGAAATTGCAAAATGTATCCCGTTGTTGCACAATATTTTACTTGTGAAGAAGGACTGTGTGTGAAAATTTTAGACTTTTATGAGGATTCTTTCAAAGATTCTACATCAATAAAAAAAATCAGCTGTGTCGACTTCTTAGTGATAACGAATTGGAAATAAATAATGTTTCAGCTTACTCAGCAGATAATGCATCAATCAGTTATGGAGTGAACAAATCTGTTTACCAAAAATTATTGCTGGAAAATGACAATATTGCTCATTGCAATAATCACATTTTACACAACAGCGCAAAAAATGCATTAAAGCAGTTATCTTTTGATATCAAAAATGTAGTGCTGAAGGTTTTTGCTGAATTTTCGAATTCTGCGAAGAAACAAGAAGAATTGAAATCATTTTTTGAGTTTTGCGAGTCAGAATTCCATGAAGTTTTGCGCATTTTCCAACACGTTGGTTAAGTTTGTTTAAAGCGGTCGAAAGACTTCTTTTAAACTGGATACCTGTAAAATTGTATTTTATTTCTCTTGGATCTGATTAGTGCCATAAGGTTATCTGGAATCTTATTTCGGATCAGGAAAATGAACTCGCAAAGGACGATGAACCAACAATTTCAGAATTGTATTTATATTTCACGCACTTCTTCATGTCAATAATGCAAGACACCCTACTGAAGCTGGAAAGCAAGAAAATTCTTGCATGTGATCTTCACATTATCATGTGTAAGCTGCGTGTTTCTTTGCAAAAAAAATACAATGAGCAGTTTTTTGGAATGAGAGTTTTATTTGCCTTACGTAAAAAATATTTGCCTGAGAATGCCATGCAAAAGTTCAAGAAAGAAGCCATCAACATGTATCAAAGAGCCATTGCGTACCTAGAAAAGTGGTATAATTTCACCGATTCAGTATATGAGACGCTAAGTTGTTTCAATCTAATTGATCGCAATAATCCTCCAACTTTAGAAGAAATGACGAACATCTGGTTATTATCACCATGGCGAGAAGAACTTCCACCCAACACTCTCTTCAATGAAATTTCTGCCTTAGAAGAAGTTTATGTTCATCTGCAGGGCGATTCATCCCTTGATAAGTGGACGTACTTTTTCAAGAAAGAGCCAGCTCAGAGTTTACTGAAACTGTTCCAGTATTGTGCATCAATTACGGTATCAAATGCAAACGTTGAACGAATTTTCAGCGTCATGGGAAATTTGTGGACTGACGAACATAACCAACTGCTTGTACCATCAGTTCGAAGTGAACTTTGTATATTTTTTAATATTTCTCAACGTTATATTGAAATTAAAGAATTATTCCTTAAACACAAAGAATTGATCAAAGCTGTGCAGTCAAATAAAAAATACACATGACAGCAAAGTAAAATGTAATTTAATATTTTACATATTATTATAATATATTTGATGTTTTGAATTTTAAGTAAAATTTTGAAGTGATTATTTTAATACGTGTTAAAATGTTTGTAAGAAAATATATAATTTAATTGTAATTTTTTTATTTTATTTTATTATTTTACTACTTAACACACACACACACACACACACACACACACCGCTTGTCCGCGATTTTTTGGAAGCAGACCTGGCAACCCTAATTGAACGGCAGTTTGACATCTGGCCAGGGGACCTTTGCACAGGTTCATCTTGGTCAGGGACATTTTCATCATTGGTGTTGCATGGGATTACACTTTCTCATTTAAAACTGGTACAGAACTTGCGGTGTTTGGAATCCACCTAGATTCACAGCTCCTGCTTGAACAGCAGGTTGACCCTGTGGTCAGGGGGTCTTTGCACAGGTTCATCTTGTGAGCCAGTTGTACCTCTTCATCAGGATACCTTGTGAGGATTCCTCACACCCTTTACTCATCATGATTGGACAACTGGACAGTGCCGTCTAAATGGAGCCACCTTTGAAGACCATATTGCTGGTTCAAAATGCAAAAGTGCAAATAATAACAAATATTTCTCCCTAACCTATAAACTATTATTGCTATGTGAGCCGCATTGATTGCCAATAACTTCCAGGTGCAGTTTACGAATTTGGTGATCATCTATAAAGCCCTTCATTGCATGAGGCTTATCTATCTGGCTATGTCCAATTGTTTCTGCATGCCAAGTACATTCTCTGCAAGTCCCTTATATTGTCATCGTGTGAGACTGAAGAAGTGCGCCCTCTCTGTTGCAGCCTCCATCCTCTGGATCAGTAGCTCACAGAGCTATTGACAGCACCCTGACCATAGCTTTTCAGACCTGGCTCTGATCCCAGGCCTAGGTTATTGAATTTGTATAGTATAGCCTTTATTGTCGTTATATATCATGTATACAACAATACAGGGGTAAAATGCTCCCGGTTCGGACCGGCTCGGGTGAGTAGGTAGCGATGGCAGCGGGCAGTTCGGAGAACCGGTAACAATCCCTGCCCCCGCCCCCCATGCCCAGTTGAGCCACGCGATCATCAGAGCCTTTTTTTCCCTTTTAAATGGCTCTGACAAGCCAAGCTCTGATGATCCCAGCTGAGTTGCCTGCTAATCAGGCAACTTAGCTTGGATCGCCAGAGCTATGTAAAAGAAAAAAAGATTCTTTTTTTTGTCCCCACCCCACCCCCTCCCCTCCCCCAGCCTCCAGCTTGCTTACCTTAGCTGCTGGTCGCAACGCTGTAATACCTGCAATCCATTGCATCAGCAAGCAACTGAATCTCCCTGCCTGCAATCAAGCTCATCAGTGAGCAGCTCTATCTGCAACTTTAAGACTTGCGTACTTCAACTCCCAGCAAAGCTGGCTGAGGAATTCTGGGAATTAAAGTCCACAAGTCTTAAAGTTGCCAAGGTTGGAGACCCCTGTTCTATTGGGTAAGTCTTTTCCCCCTTTGGGAGCTTTAAAAAAAATAGTTAATTGGGGTTTTTTTTAGTTATTCTTTTTTTAGACTTAGCCATTTAAAGTTTAGGAAGTTTTAAATTTAGCTGCTTTTATATAAAAATAAAAATAAATTAAAATAAAATAATATTTGTGCAGCTTTCTGAGATTTAGTGTGTTTCTGTAGTGTTTCACTCTAACTACACAAACACACAAAATCTCACAAAGCTGTATGTGGAATTTTGTGTGTGTAAAGTGTGAAAGTTGGTTTTTTGGGCTTTTTGTGGTTGTGTGAAGTTCCTGCTTGTTGCGGGGCCATTTTGGATCTAGCACAGCTGCTTTTACATTGTGGATGAGCCAGTTGTGTTGTGTTGTATTGTATTTTGTAGGTTAAAAAAGGGCAAAGAAGTGATATTGACTTGGCTACGCCCACCCAGTCACCTTACCACCAAACCTCGCCCACTAATTAAGCCACGCCCACAGAACCGGTAGCAAAAAAATTTAGATTTCACCCATGCAACAATATTAGTTATGGAGCCACTGTTATGGTTTCATGTTATTGTTCACTGATTTGGTTTGACTGCCTGTGCTATTTTATGAGATTATTATTTTTTTGCTGTTTTATTGATTGGGGGTAGTTTTGTAAACCATCCAGAGCCACCTAGACTGGGCAAACCATAACAACATCAACCCCCTTTGCTCTTTGTTTTTCATCCATCCATCTTTTTTGATTATTATGTCGATGTATTCTCATTTTGTTCTTCTTCATTATTTATTTTATTATTCTATTATTTTACTCCTATTCTATTTAAACTCCTTTTTGCTAAACAGTAGGGCATCTAATAGAGACAGCAATTGCAACAAAGTTAATGACTCCTCTAGAGATATCCAGTGACTTGCTATCAGTGATAGGTTGCCCCCGGTTCGCAGCGGTTCTATAGAACCAGTAGTAAAACCAGCGGGAGGCTCCGCCCACTGACCCTGATGTCATCAAAATGCTTCTGCACATGTGCAGAAGCTTCTGCGCTTGCACAGAAGAGCAAAGCGAGCATGAGTCCGTCGCCCCATTGCAAACCAGTAGTAAAGGTAAGTAGAACCCACCCCTGCTTGCTACCTAATAAAAGGAAAATTGGATTAAGGGACAAGCAATGGGAGTGGACATAGTTCTTAGCTACTAAAACTTCAGGAATATGCGATGGAAGCTACAATTTTGATAACTCAATTTATGGCAGCAGTTTAAAGCAAAAGACAAAATTGTATCCTTGCATTTTTCCTGACATCCTTCCAAATTGGGCATGGAAGGGTTTTAAGATAGGAATATAGAAATGATGGCTGTCATAAACATTGTATGTGAGCACTTTTTAAAATCTGACACAATCAAAGTAAACTTTAAAAAGGATGAAACAAAATACAATATATAACTGGTCTGACAAATACTTTATTGTAAAATATATCTGCATTTCCCCCCCAGCTTTTCTCACAGTAAATTTAAAAAGTGCTGCTGGTGATACTTGGATTGGATTAAGTGACAAGAATTGGCATGGACTTTTCCTCTGGACTGATGGGAGTGGAGTCTATTTTACAAACTGGGCTAAAGGGTCACCTCTTTAACCAATGTAAGTCCAAATTGTTGGGTTTTTTCCTGTTCTATTTCCCCACAAACCTCCTCAGAATAAATAAATGAATGAATGAATGAATGAATGAATGAATGAATGAATAAATAAATAAATAAATAAATAAATAAATAAATAAATAAATACATACATACATACATACATGTCTGTGTGTGTGTGTGTGTAGATCTTTGGTTATTCGGGTTTTCTCCCACGTAAAATTGGAAGTGTCTTGGCGACGTTTCAACGAAGTCTCATTCGTCATCTTCAGGCTGGTGTTTTCGGCTTCGTGCTTCTAGGAGCAATGTGTGATCACAGCTGTTTCTTCCTTTTAACTGCCAGTGTGGGTGTGAACTGATTGGGTGGGAGCTTGGCTGTGTTCTGTTTGGGTGAAGGTGTGTTCTGATTGGTTGGGGTCTTGGCTGTGCTGTGATTGGATGGGGGGTTGGCTGTGTTCTGATTGGCTGGGGGGTGTTCTGTTTAGGTGGAGGCTTGGTTGTACTCAGGTTAGTCTGAGTTGCAGGGGGATTTGAGCTGGTGAGCTGCATTGCTGTTGTTTGGTTTCGGGTTCGTGGTCATGCCACATCTTCATGGTGGTGTCAGTTTGCTTCATGTATGATTGGAGGGGTTTAAAGTGGCTAATGATACATCTGTGGTCTGGCTTCTGGTTTGTGGTCGTGCCTCATCGGTGTGGATTTTGGTTTGCTTTTTGCGTGGATGTGTGGTGTTGACATCCTGTGTGGTTTATATGAATATTCTTTCTAGCCAGGTTTTACCTACGTAAACTAAGTTGTTCTACGCCCTGGTTCTGTGAAATCTCATTCACAAGTTTCTGGGCCTTTTTTCTGCTGACAAACTGCAACTCTGTGTTGCTCTCTGGGAGACTCAGATAGCTATTTCTGCCTTTTAAGGCGTCATCAGTGAGCCACACCCACTTCTCAGATATCCTCCCTGTAAAGGTACAATGTGTCTTTTTCTTTTTCGTAGGCTTTTATGTGCATATTCTTTCTAGCCAGGTTTTACCTACGTAAACTAAGTTGTTCTACAGCCCTGGTTCTGTGAAATCTCATTCACAAGTTTCTGGGCCTTTTTTCTGCTGACAAACTGCAACTCTGTGTTGCTCTCTGGGAGACTCAGATAGCTATTTCTGCCTTTTAAGGCGTCATCAGTGAGCCACACCCACTTCTCAGATATCCTCCCTGTAAAAGGTACAATGTGTCTTTTTCTTTTTCGTAGGCTTTTATGTGCATATTGACAGAGATTTCACAGAACCAGGGCTGTAGAACAACTTAGTTTACGTAGGTAAAACCTGGCTAGAAAGAATATGCACATAAAAGCCTACGAAAAAGAAAAAGACGTGTGTGTGTGTGTGTGTGTGTGTGTGTGTGTGTGTGTGTGTATAATATGAGTCTCTTTTTGTGGGATGACTGGCCATATATATTTAATTAATGAATAAATGAATAAATCAAGTCTAGAACAAGAATTATGATTGTGAAGAGTTCATAAAAAACTCTTATTGGGGAAAAAAGTAATTTGAAACATTTGAGCTCAGAATATGATCTAAGCATCAAAACAGATCATAACTAAACCACCAGTAAGTGCAAAGTTGCTCTCAGAAGTCTCTGGGACAGTTTTTCTTTCTACTTTTTTCATATTGGCACTGGGATGAGTTTTACTGGAAGAATATTGTATGAAGTTTCGGAGTTGACTCCCTCCAACCCAACTGTCCTGCATCTGTGTACACTAAACTTCTGTTTGCCACAAGTGTTTAGCTTGTTTTAGAAAAAGGAGGCAGAATGTGCAGTTTAGGAGCATCCTGTCTGAAATTTTCTATAGGATTTTCAGAGGCAACATGCATACTGTACTTTAAAATGTAAAGTAAGAGGTTCTTGAAACCAACCCTTCAGTGTGATATGATAATGCAGATCTTTTCTGTCTGTTAAATAAGAAAAGTCTGCTGTGCTTTCTCCTCATCAATAGAGGGTGATATTATACCAAAAGAAATTCAGTCTCACTCCTGTCGCTCTACTTATGAACAAAAAATATGCCATTGCATATTATGTTTTGGAGAATTTTACTATTGCCAACACTCCTTTAAAGAAAGAAAATGATCTAGTAAAATGAAATTTAGAAATAAAAATATATAATAAGTATGGAGAAGAAATGACTCTGCCAGGTTTAGAATGCCTGATACATAAAGTTTGCTACAGCCTTCAAATTCACGGAAGAGATTTGATTCTCATGGCTGCTTACCTTCAATGTATGCAATGAGCTGTGCACAGTATCCCAAAGGGCAAAGCTTGGTGACACAAGCAAAGAACTCATTTTCCATCTTGGGGCCTCGAAGGGCCAGTGTGGCATCTTTGAAGTCTTCTCCAGTTTGTCTCCATGACTGTGTATGTGTAGATATCACTTTTGATGAGTTTGCAAAGAAGCATACTGTAGTGGCGCTGTACATGCCCACTGGGACTTTTGGGAAGGGATGGATGTCTAAATGGTTCCTTTGCCTAAAACAGCATGTTCTACACAATCTGTTATTTTCATGAAATACCCCGACTTTAAAGATTCACTAAAGACTGCTGTTAGAGACTACTGACTTCCTTTTCCCCCTTCCAGTTCTATACTATAGGCAGTGGCAGCATCTTCCTTTGATGATGGAGGCTCAAATGCTTCTATTGAATATGCTTCAGGATGCATCTGTGCTATAGGACATTATGACAAATGACAGATACTCACATGGGGATCGTTTTATATAGTTACCAGGAACAAAATAAAAAACCACATTTTTTTTCTCTTTTGAGATTATAAAGGAGGGGTTCCAGAAAGATTGTTCCAATCATGATACCAGTGACTGCATTCGGCTCTCTTGCTATACATAAATATTGTAGGGTGATTGCGTTTTTATGCTGAGAAAGCCTGAAAGGCTTGCAGGATATTGGAGAGTTGGAACCTGTTCTTCTAAGTGGAGCTACATTTGCTAAAAAACCACTGGCAAGTTTATAGAAGTCTTGGGAAATAATTCAGTTTCAGAAAATAAGAACATCTAATTTGTACGATCCAATCTAGGTTGATAACTGGATTTATGTGGTGTATGGTTGGATGTGGCTTCCTATTGGTTGATTGGTATGTTGATGCCAGCTATGGCCTGTTGTTTCCTTGTGCTGCCACATGCTCAGCTCCAAAGGACCTAATAAGCTGGTAGTAAATCAGCATTCCTGTTGACTAACAAGGGACCCATTTCCCAGCCTCAATCATTTCCCTGGCTATCTTTTTATCTGCTTGGCCAACAATCTTAGTAGCTGCAAAATTGAATGTCCTTGTTCATGACAGCATGAGGCTACTAATGAGTTCAGGTCTCCTCATCTGACCTCTTGCTTGTGTTCTTGCAATCAGGTGGTTAGCTTCCTCTTCATCTGTCTTACATAGTCACAGGGGCAATCCATGCAGGGAATCCAGTAGATTACATTAGAAGTGTCTCCTATCTCCAAGCAATGTTTAGAAAGCATGATTTGTCCTCGTATCTGGGCAGTGTGTGATGCCCACTCTAAACTTTGGAAGGTGCAGTTCTACTTCTTCCAAATATTTTTGATGCATGGAAGGATGTGCCATATACAATAGTTGGTCTTATATCTTCTTTCTTCATTTCTCTCTTTTGCGTATTACACAGGCGTCTTGTAAAAAACTGTTCATGGATATTGTTCTGCCTGAAATTAAATTAAATTAAAATTTTAATTTAGATATCTTCTACAGATTAATATCAGAAATTGAAAAAAGTGAATCAGTGATCTTTGATTTTGATTATTAGAAGGTATAGATTTTACAAAGAAGAGTAAAATGATGCATCTTGAAAGAGACGGAGAAGTTAAACATACTATATATGTATGTGTCTAGTTATAACTTCTGTGAAGATTATTGCAAGCTATTTGTTTATATATTTTCTTTCTTTTCTTCCTATTTTTATTCAACTATTTTTTATTTCTTGAACTTTTTATTTTTCTTTAATTACTTTTCTTTTTTCTCCCCTGCTTTATATTAGTTTGTATTAGTTTTTATCTTCTTTTTTAAAAGTTTTAATAAAAATTATATACAAAGAAAGAAAAACCTATGGGGAACAAACATGTTTGAGCTAAGTAAGACTGCAATAAAACAGATATGCTAACCAAGAAAGTACATTGTGAAGAAATGTATAGAAATTGTAAACTTAAATCACAGAATCATCAACTTCAGGAAGTATTTAAATAAAGTGAACTAAAAAACATAATCATGATAACAAATATCTAAAGTCCAATATAAAGGTTTTTAGTAGCATTGAATCAGTTATTTGGCCAAAAGGCCAAAACTATTTCCAAAAAAGTGCTGTCCTGCTCTTATATTAGAGATTTAATGAAGCAAGAAGTCAATAAAATTGTTTTTGAAACTAATATCTAGACGGAAAGTTCTTATAGCCTGAATAATTAAGTTTATATTTGTACTGGTATTCGGTGGATATTCTGAATTCATGAATTCACATATTTGGACTAACTAAATATATAAATTTAATATTATGCCTCAAGAAGTTCTCTTTAAAATGACTCACTCTATTTGTTTAATGTGCTTTTTAGTTCTCATGGTATGGAACTGAGAGGATATTTTAAGAAAAGATAGAAATTAAATATTAAGGGTTTTCAGAATAAAAAAATAGCAGAACTGTGTGTGATCTTGACTGATAATTTATTTTAAAAAAATAGGTCCTGGACCATACTCTGAACCAACAGTTCCAGCATCTCACTATATCAGTTATGGAAATAGCAGCTATTCTATGGTTGGTCCCAAGATGACCTGGGAAGCAGCAAGGAAGAAATGTGAATCTGAAAATTCAAAACTTGCCACCATTGTAGACCCCTATGCAGAATCATTCATATGGCTGCAAGTGTTCAAATACAAGGAGCC